TTTCCCCGCATGGGTCAGGGAATAGGAGCTACCTTAGAAAAATTGAGGCAAAGCTCCCGAGCTCATTTATTCATACGTAATAGAGGTTTTTACATAATAATGCACAATGTTGTGAACATCCACGTTATCTGCCCTTCTTTCATATGTAAAAACGAAGTCTTGTAATAAAAGTTTCATACAAGAAATATCTTTTATAATCATGGATTGTAATCCTTTGCTTTCCTTCGTGAATAGGTCATTGCACTTCTACACAGTATATTGCGATTACTCCCTTTCACAGGTTGATATCTCTGGCTAGGCATAATGCCTGATGACAAGCCATCGCTTCCATGCTTGAGGGTCTATAACACCAATACACACCAGAACTGAAGCCCCCATGAACACACCAGTTCCAGACCTGAATATAGCAGCTGCAACTCCCCTTTTGTTTGTCATAGAGATCGACCCGTTGACAGTTCCTTTAGCCAATCCTTCAGGTGGCGGAACCCATCTTTATGGTGCAAATGATCCTCTTGGTTGCCGCACTAGTGGTGTGTCTATCTCCTGCAGTTCTCTCAGATAATTTTCAATGAACTTGCACGTCACAAAAGGACCTTCATATTTGTCTTCGTGCGTCTCTCTTTGCATTCCCAATGCCAACATTGTTACCATAACTTTTACATATTGTTGTTCTGGCAGAAAATCCTCTAGCTCAAACAACCAATTTCTTGTGATGGGAGAGTCCCAGAGATGCCGAGAACAACTCCCCATCTGGATAATATAAAGTCTTTAAGATATGTGCACTTAGGGAATTTTTTCTTGCATTAACCTCGATCCCTGTTTAGTTAATAATACTAAATTAAACAGTTCCATCTTTAAGAAGTCCATTCCTCCCAGATACTTTGGTTGTGACATGTCATTCACGAAACCTAAGTTGCCTTCCTCTTACCCAACTTCGCTCCCCACCCAAACTTGCGAAGTAAAGAATCGATATGTTCACACAATCCTCGCGGAAACTTGAAGCATCCCATACCATATGTGAAGAGGGCTTGGGCTACCGACTTAACCTCAATCTCTTTACCTCCAAATGATAGAATTTGGTCAATCTAACCCTATACCCTCTTCCAAACTCCGCCCTTCGGGTATTTAAACACCTCATTTTAACTCGACTAACATCCGTGGGCATGCCCAACTGCTTTTCAGATAAAGTTTCAAGTTATACATTCCGAGTTTGTTTCACCTTTCCTCTTAACTTGTTTGATCACCCCTTATTGAAAAAACTGAGGACTTACCAAGATTTATTTTCCGACCAAATGTGTTGCAATCATGGTGTAAGAGAGACATTATTCCTGCATCGCGGTCCATAGAAAAAAGGTTGTCACACATCATAAATAAGTCTTACTGGTTAATGGGCCGAATACATCTAATGATAGGCTTGGAACCTCGCGTGGTCTATATCTCGCATTAAGCTAGCGCATTCTTCCATCTCGTTGAATATTTTCTCGCCTTGTAGCAACTGGGCTGGCCCATTTTCGTATGATTTTTCTCCTTCGCAGGGTTCGTTGATCGAGTGAGTTCGCTGGTTTGCTCGCATCGTGTTTTTTCCTTTTCTTTTTTCTTCGTCTCTTCGCTGTTTTTTTTCTGTTTTTTTTTGTTTTCTTTGCTTTTTCATCGGTTTTCTTCCTTTCTTTCCCGCTTTCACCGCTGTTTATTGTTTATTCTTTGTTTTTATTTGTTTCTTTTCTCGATTTCCATTGGTTTTTTGTTTTTCTTTCTTTTGTTTTATTTATTCTTTCTTGGTTGTCATCGATTTTCTTCCTTTTTTCCCGTTTTCACCAGTTTCTTGTTTTTCTTTTTTTATTTGTTTCCTTTCTCAGTTTTCATTGTTTTCTTGCTTTTCTTTCCTCGTTATTTCTTTCTTTCTTTCTGGGTTTTCATTGATTTTATTCGTGTCTTCATTATTTCTGCATTTGTTTCTTCAGTTTTTTTTTCATTTTCATTTTATTTTTTGGTTTTCATTTTTTTTCTCTTCTTTGTTTCTTTTGGTTTCATTTTACATTTCTTGTATATGTCAACAACAATTTTCTTATACACGTTTAGCATTTTCCAAATACAAATTTAACATTTTTTAATACATGGTCAACGTTTTATATAATACACATTTTAAACAATTTTCAAATGCAAGATTAACATTTTTTGAATAGTTGGTCAACATTTCCCTAAAGACACTTCTAAACTTTTGAAATGCTTGATTAGCAATTTTTCAAATTTAAAAGGTTAACATTTCGTAAATCCGTAAACAAATAAAAAGATTAAACTTTTGGAGGGAGTACTTGTTTTCTTCTACTAGTAAATGGCATGCATTGCGTAAACAAACACAGTTTTGTCGGTCACCCTACATGCATTTTGTAGTCCTCACCTCGATTGGAAAGAATCGCAACTTCATAAGATCAATGTGACTAGTGGTATAATTTACAAGAAAGAATTTCTATGAATGTCCACCACATCCACACCCCACTACCGTATCTACATCATTTCATCACACCACAAACACAACAAATCAAATGGTATGCCAGTTTCGTCTGTGTATACTACTCCTGTGAAACTTTTGTATGTGCACGATGAAATTCCTGCGAAACTAATCCGGGCAGAGCCGCTGGTTCTCAGGACAAGATGGCGGAGGGGCCGGTGAACGGGGCGCAGTAGAGGGGAGCTATGGCGGCCTCCGGGCCGTCCAAGCCGCTTCCGCCGTAGCTCCGGTGCCCGGAAGACCGGCATGTGCTTTTCTCGTCCTCCTCATCCTCCGGGCTGCCGTGGCGGTCCTGGCAGCGCGCGCACGCGCAGGGCAGGCTGCCGCTGCCGCCCATGCTCTGGTGGTCGTCCTCGGGCGGCGCGGTGGCCGCGGCGACGGCCTTCCTGAAGGAGGCGATGCCGCTCCGGCAGAGCGGGCACGGCACGGTGCCGGCCAGCCCCGGCACCTCGTACGCCTTCATCACCGTGCACAGGTCCATCGCGCACTTGAGGCACAGCTCGTGCCCGCACACTGCACGCCGATCGTACCAGAAACGATCAACAGATCATGGAAAGGTTGACAAATTTTTTGCACGTGATTGGGCGAACGGACAAGCAGAGTAGGGTACCTTCGGCGGCGACGTTGCAGGGTCTCTCGAGGCAGACGGAGCAGGCGTCGTCGTCGTTGCCGGCACCGGAGTCCGGCGAGGCGGGGAAGCCGGCGGCGGCGTAGTCCCTGGCGACGGCGAGGAGGGAGGGGAGTGGGAGGGAGAGGTAGGCGGAGGGCGGGAACTTGGGGACGGGGAGCTGCGACTTGGGCGCCAGCACGTGCTCCAGCCAGTTGCACTTCCACATCCGGGCCACGTCCACGGCGAGCCACCCGTTGCAGTTGGCGGCCATCCGGTCGGCGCCGCGGGAGACGAGCACCTGGCAGCACCGGACCTCGCCGCCGGACGCCGCGTAGTGCAGCGGCGTGCTCCCGGCGCCGATGGCCGCCATGGGCGCCGCGGCGCAGGGCAGCGTCTGCGCGTCCAGGGACGCCCCCTCGTCGACCAGCAGGTGCACGCAGTCCACGTGCCCGTGCAGCGCCGCCAGGTGCAGCGCCGTGACGCCGCCGCCCGCCGCCCGGTTCGCGTACCGGGCCCCGGCGCCCTCGCCCGCGCCGGCCGCGTCCGCCAGCAGCAGCCGCGCGCACCGCACGTGCCCGCCCGCCGCCGCCGCGTGCAGCGCCGTGCGCCCGGTCAGCCCGTCCGCCTTCCACACCTGATCGGTTCAGCCGAAAGCAAAGATCGCGACCAGATTAGATTGGTCTGTGGGAACAGAGTAGCAGCAAGCGAGCTGAATCTTGGCGCCAATTACAGTAGTGGCGTACATTGCATCTGAAGGCGAGAAGCGTCTGAACCACCTCCCAGTGCCCTGAGCGGCACGCTTGCATCAACGGCGTCTGCAGTTCAATCGTCCACCAATTCGCATGTGAGACAGAAACGCGGTCAGGTTCCATTTTTACCGAGCAAAACGAAAACCTAGTACTCCCTCTGTTTCAAAATAGACGACTCAACTTTGTACTAACTTTAATACAAAGTTGAGTCATCTATTCTGGAACGGAGGGAGTACAAATTTGTCTGATGGGATTACAGCAGAGGTACACACACAAAAAAACAAACAAACAAAGTATGCAGTTTTCAACATGAACTTTTTACTGCCAAGAAATTATCTCTCCCATGATGCTTGTACATAATAATTTCCGGACCACATTTTTTTAATGTAGGAAACACTTTGGAGTTCACTACAAATGTGACGTCAGATTTTTAATCATGGCAAATCGAATGATTTTTAGGAGAATTATGTTCTCCAAGGATGGCAAGTTTAGTTGCTAGCATGGCAAATCCGTCTCGGTTTATATTTTTGTCAGAAAATTGACGTGCTTGCAAACTTAATTTCCCATCATCTCGCCAATATAAATTGCCCAGAAAAACGTCACATTTGTTATGGCTAATAATCGGATGTCGGATGGATCCTTCTATTTATCTCTCTTACTGTTACTGCTTACTTATGTCGACGACTAAGTAGAAAATCCATAATTAAACCTTTAAAGAAAACATAAATTTATAAGAAAAAATATATAATAGATCCTTGAACTGTCAAAAATCTAAGTTTGGTCCCTCAGTTTCAATACAACACAATTTTTAACACTCGGCCTTGGTCCATTTCTTCAATGTAAACCCTATAGGATGGTGTTACAATGTTTCTCGCCCATGTGGCAACCCCGAGTAATACAAACTTTTGGAAATAAGCAAAACATTATGTGAAATGAAAGTAATACAATATGTAAATAAAAATATTCATTTAAGATTAGTTGAACTCTATATTTCTCTCTCTCTCTCTCTCTCAAAAAAGAACTCTATGTTCTTTTACAAAATCACACCGGCCGAAATATCATGTAAAACCATGGAATTCAGCGACACAAGAAATTATTCTCAATTGTTATTCCCATAAAAAAATCCCATATTTACATCAATTTTTTTTAAACAGATCCAAGCTTTCCAAATCTGGCATGTAAGAAAATGTATCAAGAACTGTTTTTTTTTGCAGTTATTCTTGTAAATATCCAGGACCAGAAAAAAACCATAGATTTTGGCTTTGAACTTTTAGTTTCATGAAATTACCATCTGTAGTCCAGATCTTCAAATTAGTCAAGTTTTTTAAAAAACAAGAAAGGCATTGTTATCCACCCCCCTCCCCACCCCACCCCCTTAATTATTTTGTTGACTTGTGTCAATTCTATGGCGCCGGCCAGGCTGTATCTGTTTGCGTGGGAAACTGGGTACCACGACACAAAACACGTGTTCTATAGTATGATGATTCCACTAGTTTTCTCCACACACAAAAAAGATGATTCTACTATTTGAATTTGAGGGACCAATAAGTTCCTCGATTGTGGTTGTTGCACTTGCAACCAACCAACCAATAATAACACACATTGTTTCTCTCTCTCTCTCTCTCTATATATATATATATATATATATATAAGAAAAGTGGTACCAACAGCAACACGCGCGCGACAGGAGGCAGCAGCGTTGCATTGACGACCGATCGATCGGAGTCGGAGAGATCAGCCTCAGAGACTGACACATTGAGTTGGTTGGGAACTTGAGATGAGCAATAACACAAGCCGGCCAGCACTGTTCACCTCACACTCTGGCACTGACATACACACATACATTGATATTACATACATACCTGTCCGTACACGTTCCTCACGTTCGCGTCGGCTCCCTTCTCCAGCAGCAGCGCCGCGATCTGCACGCACGCACGTAAACACCTTCAGAACTTTTTCAAGAACACGCAAAAGCTCTTTTTAATCGCCGCGGCGACACGCGTGCAAGTGAAAGTAAAAGTGGGAGAACCGATTTTTGTTTTTATTTTGCGGCCAAAACTTAAATTAAATTATGTATGTGCGTAGTACTAATAGCGTTGTGTGTCTAGGTCGGCGAACGCGTGACTTGATCGTTAACGACTGTACGACTGCGGACGGAAACAGTTAACCAGCTGGCTGGCTCGCTGGCTACTGCTCATCAACTCATGTACTCCAACTGCACATGTAATCACTGTCTGGCCATATGTTTTTCGACAAAATCGTCAAAGCTAGCCAGCCCCAGCCGGACGATCGAGCGGACAGGACGACGCTGCGTGTGATTAATTTCTCCGTGACTTTCGTGATGGCGTCCTGACGCGATGGCTTTTGAAAACACGGGACTAATTTGCTTGGCTAGCTGTACTATTAATCACAATTTACTTAGCACATGCGTCGACAACAACGTATACACAGCAACTTGTGCTGCGAAAATAAGTGAAAGTACTGTACTACATGTGTGCGCTTCAGTTGCACGGGGTAGTTAGTTTTTACATCAAAGCCCTAAAGAAAATTTGGCCGTACATTCTACAGGTTCTTTAGGGTACTCGAGGCACAAACATGTACGCACATTTCGCCTTACTCATTCCTGAAAAGAATTATCACATCATATTCAGATTTTCGCATTTGCTAAGTTGCCTGGAAATCGAATTGGTGCAAGTCAATTTCCTGGGAGAAGGAAGGGAGGTGGGGCCGAGCAGGGGACAACACGGTAGCGGCGTTGTCAGCGGAGGGGAGTCGGAGTTTTGACGGTTCGGATGCCGGGTGGGTTGTCGACTCTAGAGAGATGGCCGGGCGGGTAGGGCGACAGGCCGGCAAGGCACGCACCGACGCACAGGAGCGTCATTGGCCATGGGTGGCGGCATCAAGCTGTTAGGGCGGCGCCAGATCAAGCGGATCACGAGGAATGCAGAGTAGTTGGCTGGAGGAAGGAGAAAGCACGACAGCCATTGGATACAGATGAGAGACGAGAAGGCTAAAAAATCAACTTGCCAAAAAAATAGACAACTTGTTGGATTTCCCTACAATTTTACATCAAAATCCGCGTGTCACTATCTAGTGAGCGCACCTACCTGGCTCCCATTATATACCATCAACTTGGGTGAGAGGAAAACCATCAAGTCAAATAACCTTTTGATCCATCTACCCTATTACACATCAGCTTGACAGTAACCCGGCCCGAAAATATCCCAACTAATTAACTAGCTACTGGTGCCAACTTGCGTGCAAAAGAATGCATCGTCCCTACTACAATGGTGACTCGACCTCCTTGCCGTGAATTTTTGGCCACACGACGACGAAGGGGTCATTTTCTACCAAGGAAAAATGAGTCGTGCTTGCTTGGAAAACCACAGCCGGAGGACGCACGCATGCACCCCAAATCAAATCTCATATGGTGGAGTCGGCAGGTTTTCTTGTCGATCGACTCGCGATTTTATTTTATTTTATTTATTCACGGTTTTGTCCGTGGTTAAGTTAAAGCTACGGTGGTTATGCTAGATAGGTGTCCGTAATGATAATTAATTTGGGGAACAAATTGGATATGGTGGTACCTTTCGAGACATTACTAGGAGGATCAATATGTGGGATCTACGTACTAGCTGATTAATCCGGGCCACTTGTTTTTTCTACGTTTTGTTTCGTTGAATTTATTTTGGCTTTTCACGAATATATATATTTTGAGCACCATGATGTGAGCTTGTGTACTCCCTCCGTCCAATTTTTTTTGTCCCAAGCTTGTTTCACAAATGGATGTATGTAGCACTAACTTGGTGCTATATACATCCATTTATGGAACAAGCTTTTTCGGACGGAGAGAATAGTTATTAGTCAATGAGCCTCAAATTTAATGGACACTCTTAGACTCGCAGTTTGAATTTTGTAGGGTTGGCATCTAGTGTCGGTTTTCAAAATGCAACTTATCTTGCCATTGCAAAAAAAATAATCCGTAAAGCACCAGCCATATTGAATATTGAACTTGTAATAAAGAAATAAAATAAATGGCATGCTGAACTAGGCCCGCGCGTTGCATGGTTTTGAATTCAAATTGCACCCGCTGAACTAGTCCATGCAAAACGGAAACAAATCCGCATGCAGGCAGGCAGGCGCGCGCGCGCGGTGGCCGGCGTCGAGATGCCGGAGGACACGCGTACGAGCAGTCGAGCGAGCGGGTCGTCGGGCCATCTCGCCGGCCGGCAAGCCGGCGCGCGCGCGCGCGCGAGGGCACGTGCACGTACGTACGTACCTCGTGGTGGCCCTTGGTGGCGGCGAGGTGGAGCGGCGAGCTGAGGTTGCCGAAGGTGGCTGTGCACCGCGCGAGCCCCGGGTCCGCCGCCAGCAGCCGCCGCACCTCCGCCGCGTCGCCGTCCCGCGCCGCCGCCGCCAGCCGCTCGCCCAGCCCGGCGCACCCCAGCGCGTTCCCCATGTCTGTACTGATCAAGCTGACGCGCCGCCGCCCACCGTCTACTACCGAGAGCCCGCGCACCCGCCGGCCGGCGCCCCGTCGCTAGCTGGAGAGCTAAGCTCACGGGACTTCTCCGGTCGTTGTTGGCAAAGGAGATTGAATCTGGTGAGCTAGGTGCGTGTGAGCCTAACACTAGGCCACCACATATATATCTGAGATTTGTGTCTATCTCTCGTGCATTTCTCTTCCGGCTAGCCTAGAAAGTTTTATATGTGCACTCTTCTAGTTCTGGCTTAGTGTGATCCTGACCCATGAGAGAATTCTTTTTCCCTTCTTCCTCTCTCACTGTTATGATATCTTGGTGTCAGCATATGAGGCCAGACAGCTGGGCACTAGTGTATTGATTAGTTGTGCATGGCCCCTTTTGTGCATTAACCCCTGTAGTTGCATGGATTCACCTGCATGCCCACCACCTAGGCCTAGGGGTAGCTTCAGAAATAACCCCCTACAAATGTTATTTTTGAAGTGATGTGTATCTTTGGCGCGACATGGAGACTGTCTGGTCGAACAAGACGGGTGTCGGCTATAAGTGGCTCGGGAGTATCATGTTGAAGTGGGGCGTCGGTCAACAAGTGAAGGGTCGATCTCCAAGAAAAAATATACGCGCCGACAAATCTCCAAAGCTCTTATCAACAAAGTGTCGCTCGCCAACACGGTATCATCTCGATTGCATCCTATGGTCGAAGAATGTCCCGAGGAAGCGAAAGTGATGCATGCATGAAATTGTACTGAAAACGCCGCAAGTCAATTCATTGTCGATCATATATACCACCCCTTCGTGTATAACGGTGAACTATGAAGAGTCAACCCTAGCGCCAAAAGAGTCGACGTGTTGCACACCTGGTTGTGTGGTGCTAAGTTGGCATGGAAAAGATCTCCTTACAGTGTGTCGAAATCATCCACAGCCAAAGAGACCGTGCAAGATATATTCATAAGTGTATGACAGTGTGATCGATGTAAGTATCGGCCAACCCCCACTTAGCACTAACTCACGGGTGCAACTAATCTAGCTAGCTAGTGGATCAAGTTTCTCCACTTGGTAGCGTCAGTTCCCTTCACTTTCTGCCACTTACATTTCGTGTCTATTCACCGAAATGAAACACTATTATGGTTTTATCACCTTCATTGTCATCATTTTTTAAAAGGTTATTTACTGGTTAATAAGTAGTCAAGGCTTTCCGATCATTTTCAGTGTCTTTTTTTGGAATAACTTTTTTCCTGTTTTTTGTAGAAAACTTATGTACTAAAAGACATGTCTCAACCAATTCAATCGACTTTCAATTTTCCCGCAAAATAGAAAACAACCCCAAGATAGCATGTTGGGTCCCAAATGCCATGCACAGAGAGAGACAAGTACCATTTCATTCAACCCCAAGTGCATCAATACGTACTCTTCACTCGCATGCATGATCTGATTTCATACAACCAGAACCCCCTTCATATATACTACCAATGTCAAAAAAAATTGTCAGAAGGTTCCTGAGCTCATGTAGCAAGATATATATGGAATTAATGGATAC